AGCGGCAACTGGACTTGCTGAGCTTGGCCCTCCACAACTAAGATAGAAGGACACCAAGTTGACTTGGAGCTGATGGGTCCTGGAAAAACACAGTGTTCACCTTCCCCAATTCCCAAACACTGTTCCCTTTCCCAATTCCCTAATAAAAATCTTTGGGGAAAAAAAAAAAAGTTGACCAGACCTTGAGTCCTCCAGGTACATGGATTTTGTAGGCATTGTGTTTAGCCGGTTGTGTCCTAGACTTCCAACCTAAACCTTTTTGGGGAGCAGCTAGACTGTTGTGTGGCACTGGTCCCTTCTCCAAGCTGGTCACAGTGATTCATTAAGGGATAGACACAAAACCATTGGGGTTCAGAGTGAAGCTCAGATGTTTTCCATAGTTGTAGGAAGAGATTTTCACTCTCCCCATAAAGTGAAATAAAAAGGTGTCAGCCTTCTTGCTACCGTGAAAGAATCTAGCTTGAGGACAAAGGAGACAGACAGAAGAGGGCACAGCTGAGAGAATCAGAGTAGAGCCGTAGCCCTACTGCCTTTGTGAACCTCTGCATCAAACTCTGCCTGATGTCCGTACCACTTCTGGATTTCACATCTATCCCAGGCAATAAATCCAGTGAGTCAGTATAAGCTGGGGTGTTGTTTACTTGTAACAAAAGGCATCCTGATATAGTCCCCTTTGATTTCTTTCAGGCCCTGCCCTCTGCTTCTCACTGGTCCTGTGTCCTGGTACGTGTGGGCTCTCTGTGCAGTCAGCGTACATGATGCATACACAGCGTTCTATGGCGAGGAAGTTTTTAGTTCACATATATCCAATGTTCCATTTCTCTGACATTAGTGAAAATAATAGAGTGCCTCACCATTAACATCAAAAGTATAAAAAGCAGTAGAGGGGTTTCTCAGAACTTCTCAAGTTGCATTTCTAAGTTTTGCTGCTGAACATACTCTAATGCCCATTTGAATGCCCACAGAACCCTGAGGCTGGGCTGGGTCTGCTGACGGCCTCCCCAAGCATCAGCCTGAGGCCTAAGGGCAGTGCTGTCCAGGGGACAGCCAGCCTGAAAGATAACGTGTGAAGAAACTCTCCAACAGGCTGTTTCTTATTTATTAGATTCCAGATACATGGGGCCAGGACAGGGGAATCCTAGGGTGTTTAATTTACACGGGAGGGGGAGGTCTTTGGGAGAACACATACAGAGGTGGGAATATTTACATGTGGGTGATGCAATGAGGACTGCCATTTTAAAAAATATATACATCTTAAGAAGCCATTCCAGCCACATTATCATTATTAGAAAATAAAACAATCTTTCCATAGTGCTTTTCTTTGGTGCTGTTCTGTGGGTATGGGCCCCTGTCTTCTTGTTACAAGTGTGTCACTTCCCCAGCCACCTTCCCCCAGCCCCCTACCCCTTCTCCCATCTGCACAGGGGATGGAGGGGTGAGTCTGGAGGGAAGGGTGGCTCCTGACAAGGGTGTATGCAGATTCTGGCCCCTCTAAGGCGTTCCCGTGGCCTCCCAACCCACACCCCACTCTGGCTTTGACAGCGTCCGACTTGTTCTTCAGTTGTGCCCGAGGAAATAAGTGTTTTCCTGTATGTAAAAACTGGGGGCCACTATCAAGGTTCATGTGTGACAAAACCAGGATGGAAGCTTTAGAAAGTGGGAACACAGGGACCAAACAAAACCCAGCCAGTACCACCTTCTCCATGGTTGGATTTTTACATTTTATTTCTTGGTTCATTTCAATGACCTGTACCATGAGAATACAACTGAGAAGGGCTATTTCCTCTTTACAGATTTCCCAGGAACAGCAGATTGGGGGTAAACTTGAGTTCTGTCCTGTTTGTGGGTCAGGGTGTCCTAAACTCTCCTCACTGCGCCATCCCCCAAGCCAGGGCCATCCTCTTCCCACGGAGGTCCCAAAGCTGGCGAGACAGCTACCTAACAAGATGGCCCCTGAACTTGTTCTCTGAACGTCAATGGACCCATCAAGTATACACCAGGGCCTTTCCCATTGAAAGAAGTTCCCACTGTTACTGATACATTTCCTGTTGCTCTAAGAGTTTTTCAAGTGTAAAAGCAGCAGCAGTGTCCACCTCATTGTCACCAAGCCATCAGGACCACTGCCCCCTCTCTGTTAGAAAGGGGCTCTAATGCCAGGACACTGCAGGAGCACTAGGCCCGGTGAGGCAACGCTGCCCTGTATACAGACCACCTGCCCACTTCAAACCAGTTATTGCCCTGTTCGCCATAGATGCTTTTCCTAGAAAAGAAGGGCTGTCAACACCAGTTGTGCAGAAGGCCTGCTGGGCCTGACAGCCCGGGTCCTCATGCTTGAGCAGGAGATGGCACTGCATAGAATGGGATGCCCAGGTGCTAAGATGCCACCCTCTGTCCCATCTTCCAAGCACACAGCACAGTGAGCTCCTAGAGGAGGCCCCCACAGAGCAGACCCCAAATTCTCTTGCCCGTAAGGTCTTTCCAGTTCAGACCTCAGGGCATAGCCCCTGATGGTTAAGTTAGGCGTGGGCTTTTGCCCTGGTTCCTTAATGCTGAGGTGCTCATGGATCCCCCCCAGATCAGGGACAACGGGAACCCACACAGAGCTAGGGACAGAGCATCTTGGATTGTAATTCCAATGCTAACTGTCAAGTGACTGTGGCCTTGGAGTCCCCACAGCCAGAGAGGAGGGGAGCACACGTCACTGGTGTGTGAGGTCTCGTAGAACCCGTGCCATTTCCTACGTGAGGACATCAGGCAGCCACTCCACAGCTGCTGGGCTGTAGCCAGCCCTCCTGCCTGGAGGAGTGGTGGCTGGGAGTGGAGACACAGGAACGCGGAACCAGCAACAGCTGCTTTCCCTAGAAAAACCATGAGGCTGTGGAAAAGGGTACCTGGCCTCCTCATGTCCTAATGAGGAGCAGGTGGGATCCGCCTGCCTCTCCAGGCGATGAGAGGTTGGGTTAGAATGAGTGTGGATTCTTCAGGAAAAAGTCCCAGGTGAAACGGTTCTGATGCCTGTGTTAGAAGGCAGCTGCTTGGGAGGACATCTGCCATCATGCCTCATGCCCTCCCATCCTCTGGAGATCCACGAAGCTGCCCTCAGCAGCCTGTGCGCTCCAGACAGGGAGTTCAGGGCTGCCCCCCACAACCCCCAAATGGGTTATAAGAGGGGCTTCCTGGGATGCAGGGCTTTCAGTGCTAAAACCAGACATGTCCTGGGCAAGCTGGGGTGGTTGGTCACCCCACACAGCAGGGAGGAGGACTGGGGTGGCTCCGCCAGAAAGCTGGGGCCTCTCAGTGACCCCAGAGAGTTACGCCACACCTCCTTGTCAAAGGGTAGCAGGAGCAACCCCTCCTATGGCACTGATCACCCAGCTCTTTAGATTACAGGGAGGGGGCGTGCTCGTGTCCCCTGCCCTGGAAACCAGGAAGGATCAGGGAGGCTGGTGACCTCCACTGAGCTCCCTGTCTTCAGGGCTCCCACACCTGCTTATCTCCACTGTGGGACTTTCTGTGCTCAGCAAAGTTTGGTCGGGGCCTCTCCCCATTCTGCCTCCATCTTCCCAGGACTGTCAGTCTAAAATTGGGGTACCCAGGGTGCCCTCGGATGGGGCTAGGCCACAGCACATCCCCCACTTCCCACAGACCACCTGCTCTGGACCTACCTTGAGGGTTGACAGAGGAAGGGGGCAAAGCAAGGAGAAAGTGGGGCTCTGAGGAGCTCTTCTAGGAGCCAGCACAACTCCAGCTACGGGCCCTGAAGTCACCTTGGCTGGCTGAAGCATTGTCTGAGTGAGCTGTGAGGTAGGGGCAGAAAGTAGCAGGGGGGACACCTGGGGGAGGAGAGGAGGATGAGAACAGGTAGGGGGGAGGGCACCTAGGGCTGGGGTGCCCGGGAAAATGGGTCAGCTCTAGCAGCTACTCTCCTGATGCTGAGTCCCCGCTGGGAGCTGGGTGTGTGCCCAGCTGAGAGGAAGGATGGAGGGAGGGGCCCTCTGGACTGTGGAAGGGGTGCAGCCTCTTGAGGGGCCCCAAAGAACCTCAGAGCCGGGAGGGCCTTTGGAAGGAAGTACCTGCCCCCGGGAAAGGAACACCTCTGGGTGGAACACAAGCTCAGTGTGCCAGAGTCCTGAGCGCTAGCACTGCCCACCCAGGCCAGGGGTGGGGAGGACGGGGCGGGTGGAGGACGGGGCCAGGAAATGTTCGGGCTGCCTCTTGCTGGTTTGGTGGGGAGAGGGGGTCCTTCCTCGGTGGTCTCCAGTCTCAGGGGAGTCAGCCCTGGCCCAGGCCTCAGCACTGCCCATGGAGAAGGAAAAACATACCAAAGAAAAAGCCAGTTACAGATGAGCCCCGCCCCCTGCCCTCCCCTCCCTGTCTCCCCACCCCGCGGCACCCAGGACTGCACACAGCCAGGAGGCAAGAAGCCCCTTCCTCTGGGACTGCTCATGGCCATAACACAGGGCTGGAAGGTCGAGGCTGGTGGCTGTGGAGGTCTCTGCATTGGGCCGTCCGTTTGTCTGTCCACAGGCGGGAGTCAGTCTGTGTGCCGGGCCATCAGACCTTGGCCTCCAGCATCTCCAGGAAGAGTTTGTGCATGGGCACCTTGCCCTGCAGTTTGACGCTGTAGAAGTGCTGCACCGCCTTGGCGGCCGTCTGCCGCAGCAGGGGCAGCGTCAGCAGCAGCTTGCCCGTCCTCCGCGGCTCTTCGTGGCGCTGGCTCAGCTCGTAGTCCTGCAGCGCCTCGTGCAGCAGGTCCTGCAGCTTCTGGACAGCCTCCAGATCTTCGATGTACATGGAATCTGTGGGCACAAGGGTGAGCGTCAGGGTGCCCTGGTGGGAGAGTGCCCCCTGGGGGGTGGCGGCCACCACAGGGCCCTTATTGCAAAGAGAGGGAAACCATGGCTCAGAAAGGTTAAGCTGCCAGTCTGAGGTCTCAGAGACTAATGACAGAGCTGAGGCTTGGACCCAGAGAGAGATCTCTATCTGTGGAGGACGTTTCTTGAGAAACCAGCAAGAGATGGAAGCGGAGACCCTGAGGGGCTTGAACATGAGCAGATCTGTCACTGCCCTGCATGTGTCAGTGGACTCTGGAGCCAGACTGGTGGAAGTAGAATACCGCATCCTTCAATTGCTAGCTTTGATTTTAGTCCAGTGATTTAACTCCTCTGTGCCTCGTTTTCCTCATTTGTGAAATGAGAGAACAGCCATACTTACCTCAAGAGGTTAATACAGGTCAAAGGCTTAAAACAGTACAAAGTACCCAGCTAGTGGTGTCATTACCATCGCCATTATTGTCATCACCGCCGTCACCACCATCACCAGCGTCACCGCCATCAGTATCATCACCATGACTATTGTGGCTGCAGCTGCCAGGCACCAGCTCAAGTCTTCAGTGAAATCAACAACCTTACAAAACGCTAGTTACAGAATACGGACGCAGATAAAGGGGCTGAGCTCCGTGTCTGGGCGCCCCGTGGTGGGGTTTCTGGGGGAACTGAGATAGCATGGCTGGACGCGTGGGATACGGTGATGGAGGAAGCTGGTGGGGGGGGCCCTTGCAACCTAAAATCCTGGGAAGGGCTTTGGGCTCATGCCATGAATTGGGGGTTCAAATGAAATTTCCCTAAACCCCAGCAGGGCAGGGAGGTGCCCGCGGACAGCTAGGTTACAGTTGGGTCTGAGGCTGAAGCAAAGATAATTTCCTGGAATCCATTCCCTGGCCTCGGGGAAAATAACCAGCCTTCTTCTGACATTCCTTAAAGATCCTAAGCCACTTCCCTGAACCGCAGTGCCCAATGCCTGCCAAAGGTGAGAGGGTGAAGCTCTGAGTAGGTCTCTGAGGAGGACTGCTCAAGTTTTCTGAATTCCTCAAAAGAGACGGGCAATTCCTTTGCATGTTGTGTTGGTTTAGATATCAGACTGCCAAGGGCAGCTGCACCCATAGGCTGACACCAGTGACCGCCCCCTGACCTTCTGGGTCCACACTCAGCCTGTGCCTTCAAGGTCCTGCCTCTTTCTCTTGGGAAGATAGCCATAGAATGAAGTAGGTAAGACCCTAGTGTCTTAAATGCTGTGTGACTTTGGCCAAGTTACTTAGGCTCTCTGAGATTGTTTCCTTGTCTGTAAAATGGAGCAAATAAGAGTATCTACCTCATAGGGTGGTGGTGAGGGGTGAAATGAAATAGCACATTACCAGGCACTTAGTAAGCACCTAATAAGTGTTTTTATTAACATTATTGTGAGGACTCAGACGGGGGGCGAATGCCCTTGCAGGGCTGGGGCGTTACTGGCCCCATACCCAAGACTCTTCCACATTTTTCTGCATCTTGTTACCAAGGCAATGAGGACTCCTTCTCTGTCCGTTGGAGAGGAGGATGGCTCCATTCCCATGCTCCCAGCTATTTACAGAGCATGCCCTTACGATGTGATGGTCCCTGCAAGGCTGGGACCTGGCTGTTCAGACTCCCTGCCTCCCCGCCAGCTTCCTCTCCTCATCCCCCTCCCCTCCCCAAGGAGGCCAGAATTGGCAGCTGCCTTCGACCAAGAATGAAATAAAATAACATTGCAAGATTAATTTCTTTGCAATCCATCAGCACGTCTATATCGATGGCATTGATAAACTGTTAATTACAAAATCAATGTCTATGATTTTTTTCTGCTGTCAGGGAGCCTGGGAGAGGGCCGGGAAGCGGGGTGAACGGCTGCCAGCAGGCTCCTGAGGGGCCGTGGTCCGGGGCCACAGCCCGTCTCTGATGTGCTTCCCTGGCTCGCGTCAGTCCCCTGTCTGGTCCACTCAGTCTCAGCAGTGGCACACACAGTGGCCCTCGGGGCTGCCACGAAGACCGCTGCAGTGATCTCCTGGCCCCTGTCTCTCCTCTAGCTAACACACTGTCTGCCTGGGTTACTCTCTCTACCTTGCTGCTGGGGACCGGTAACTCCCTGCCACCTTTCCTGGCTTCCTACACTCACTGACCCTATTACCACCCAATCCCTTCATAGCCCCAGAGCCTTTGGTCTGACCTCCAACTGCTTCTCTAGTCTAATCCCCAAACAGCCCTGTTCTTTCCGTTTCCTGCCTGCTCTTTTTGTTGATTGCTCTATTATGCATGCAGGGTCCTGAGTGTCAAAATCCCTCTCCATCCTGAGTTTCTTGTACCTGCACATAAGCTACCGGGTGGCTTGGTAGATGCCACAGGGGCAAGAAGCTCAGGTTCCTGGAACTTCATTCCACAGGACAGACTGTGTATTTAGGCAAGGTTTGATGCTAGCTGAAGCTCCTGATAGGCTCATGAGTGTGTGTGCACTTGTGTGTGTGTGACTATCTGTATGTGTGCATGCTGTCTACATGTGTTTGCATGTGCATGCCTGAGTGTGTTGAGATCAAGGCAAGAGCAGTCAGCTGGGCTAAAGAGTCTTCTGAAAGCCCTTGCAGCATGGGATTGAGGGGCGGGATAGAGGTGACAGTTGAGTGGCCTCCCACCTCGTCACTCTCCCCTCCCAGCAAGGGTCAGCTTCAGTGCTAGGGCTGGTGTGACAGGTCAGGAGAGTCCAAGGCCTGCCAGCCTTCCTGCATCTTGCTGTAGTCACCCTGTCCTTCATTTCCACAGTGTCCCCTCCCCTCCTGTGCCCATCCAAACTCCCAGCCCCTCTGCAAGGCTGCTTGAGATGCTGCCCTCTGAATAGATGAGCACAGGGGAGTGTGAGGGTGGCGAAGCTACCCTGTCTGATATGTAAAGATGGAGATCTGTCAGGACCTCTAGAACCATAGAACGCAAAGAGTAGACCCGGCTGGCAACGATGGGCTTTTGTTAATAAACATGTATCAATATTGGCTCATTAACTATAACAAGTTACACAGTAATGCAAGATGTTAATAGTAGGGGAACCTATACACAGAGGATGGGATGGTAGATGGAACTCTGTATACCATCTGCTTCATTATTCTGTCAGTCTAAAACCGTACTGAAAAGCCCAACAGCATTAGCGTTCTCCAACAAAAGATACATTACAATTTTGGAATGTTAAGGTATAAATGGTCTCTACAGAAGCATGTAAAATTTTAATTATTAGTTTATTAATAAAATGGATTTGAACTAAAAAAAGAAACCCAGGCTTTCCTCTCTGTATTAGGTCAGGTTCCCCAGAAGCAGAGCCTGAGACAGGGGTTTGGGCGCATGGGGTGTACGGCAGGCGTGCTTTCAGGAGAAAGGGAGTAAGAGGGACAGGACAGAGAGAGGGTGGAGCCTACAAGGTAAGAATGCGGCCTCAGCTTCCACCAGATCCCACCTTGCCAGGAGTCCAGCCTTTTGCTCCCTGTGTGGGTCCACCATTGGCTAAGGGTGCCAGGGGGTGAATGGTGTACGTAACGCTCCTGACAATGAGGTGACGATAAGTCTCTGGTGAAGGGGACAACTGTGAGCTGTTGGCAGCGAAACTCAGCAGCTGGGGCATGCGTGCACTGACCCAGGAAAGGAGGTCTGAGGGGCCACCAACAGCGTCCCCTGTGTTCTCCGTGAAGCTATTTGTTAGGGGGACCAGCTAACCCAGTTAGCCAAGGACTGAGGTTTCCTGGGATATGGGACTTTCAAGAAAAGTGCGACAGTATCAAGCCACCCAGTTGGTTCCCTATTTGTGTTCTCTCCCTCTGGGAACCAGCTCTCTTTTGTTTCCTCTAATAGAAATAATAATGATAATTAATATTTATCGAACATTTCCTCCAGGCCAGGCACAGAGCTAAGTGCTTTACCTTTAGTTGGTCGCTTCCTACAAAAGCACTTAGAGGAGGTGCAGGGATATTCCCATTTCACATACAAGGACAGAGCTAAGGAAGGTTGCCAAGTTGTCCAAGGTCACACTGCTACCAAGTGTCAGAGCTAGAATTTGAACTTGGCTCCATCTGACCTACAATTGAGCACTTCACTCTACCACGCGCTACTCTGCAGCAGAATGATGTGTGTGTGTGCTGACACACTCTCTCTTTAGGACAGGAACCATGCCTTTCTCTTCCTTCTGCACCCCCAGCCCCTGACATGGTACCCTGTAAAAGGTGGACACCAAGTGTGGACACAGATTATACTTAAGCTCACTCACATGCATTTTCCTATACTGGCTCCTATAGCCTAGCAGAAGCTGGTGGGAGCTAAAGAGATGGAGTAAGGCCTCTTTTTTAATACCCGACTAAACTATTCAGTTGGCAAGGCTTTCTCTCTTGTGCCCAATCATTTGATTGTGAGACTCAAGGAATGGGCATAAGCTCAGGTCAGTTCTGAACTCACAGGCTCTTGGTTTGACTCCTAGCTCTGGGTGACCCTGGGCAATTTGCTTCACCTTTCTAAGCCTCAGTTTACACATCCATTGTAAAATGGGGTTAAAATGAGAACTTTGCTCATAGGATTGTTTGTAAGAATGAAATAAGTTCATAGCTAATTTATTTAACAGGTTGAGCACTTACGGGCCAGGTATATCGTAAGCATAACATAATTATTTACAAACAAATCCCTTCCGTAGTCTTGTGGGGTAGGGACTGTTTATTGTTCCCATTTTACTGATGGAGAAACTGAAGCACAGAGTGACGTGACCTGCCCAAGTGGCAGAAGTAGGATTTGACTCTTAATAACCTGGCTCTAGAATCTGTGTTCTTAACCAGTGTGCTGGTCTGGAGGTCAAGGACCCAGCATAGCGCCCTGCAAATCAAGAGCTGAGGAAATCCTCGACCAATGCCGGCCTTCATCACCATCCTTTTAAGCCGTTGTGCCATCTTTGGGAACTAAGAGCTCCAGCATCTTCATGCCCTCCCTGCCTCCTGTAACTGGACGGCACATCCCAGGCCTGAGAAGACCTCTCAAAGCTCCCCTGTGGGCCCCACACCTGCCCTTACCTGAGTTGGCCAGAGCCAGGGCCTTGAGAGTCACAAACTCCTCTTTCTCCACCTTGAGCTTCTTGTACCTGCGCACCAGCTGCAGGATGGCCCGGTAGAGCTCCAGCAGCCCCGCCAGGCGGGAGTGCTCCTCGTCCATGATGTAGTCCTCAGCATACACAAGCTTGTCGTCGTAGGGTAGTGAGCGATACACGATGCCCAGGATGAGGATCTCCATCCAGGCGCTCTGCAGCAGGCTCATCTGGTCCCCCAGAGAGAGGTTCGAGAAGCCTGCAGAAGAGAGGGCAAGGAGGGCAGCACACGGTCAGGTGGGTGGGCTGGGGCCTCCCTGGGGCTGGCTGGAGGGGGGATGGGGCAGGGGTCCAGGCGCTTCTGGATCCTGCCCCGCCCTCTGTACCTGTGGGACTCACTGTCCGTCCCTTGTTGAATGAGTCAGACATGGGATTCCTGGAAAGGACTTACATAACAAGAGCTCGGTCAATGTTGACACTTGTTATTACCATTATATTATTGTCAGTTCTTTGGTAGTTTTCTTACATCTGGAGAGGCTTTTTGATTAATTGAATGCATTTGTGATTTAAGGAGTTATTGAATTCATGGTGGAATCAGGACGTGGCCGCGCAGGGTCCCCTCCAGTCTGGGGAGTTTCCAGGCCCTCCTCTCTGCTCAAACCCGGGGAGGTTTTGGTGTTTTAAAGTGACACCTGATCCTTGGTGCAGTCTCAGCTGTGCAGAGACCCAGGGGCCCAACCGGGAAAGGACTCAGCTGTTCCCTGCCAGTGACCTCCAGTGACCACAGCCTGGGGCTGCAAACAGCTCAGGAGCCTCCGGGGTCAGGGGGCACTTTGTCACAAGGCAGCCTGTCCTCCTAGGGGTCAGACCCCAGCTGCCCCAGCCATCACTCTCCACCTAAGGATGGTCCAGCTGGCCTGTATCCTGTCTCTGAGCCTGGAGTCCTGGGAGCTCCCCCTCTCCCTCCTAGCAATGAGGCTGACTCCGGAGTGAAAGACGTCTGGGGGTGGGGATGGCTCCGGAACTGTGACACTGTCTTGTCCAGTGTGTTCTGGAGATTGCTTGGGCTCGAATCCTGACTCCTGCAGGCTGACTATGGGAAAGCCATGCAACTTCGCCAAACCTCAGCTTCCTCATCTGTGACATGGATATAATAGTAGTGCTGCTTCAAAGAGCCAGCCACTGTGAGGTCTAAATGAGGCAACGGTTATAGGATATACAATAGTTACAGAGCTCTTACTATGTATTATTATTAATGATGAGATAAAAGTCTTTGCAAAATGAGAATATACGGGAATTGCATTATATGTGCTTAACTTAACTTTGATATGTTCAAAGTCAATTAACATCTTGATTTATAAAAAAAGAGGTGGGGGAGGGAGGGAGAAAAGGAGGGAAGAAATTCATTTTCAAACAGCTGGTCACTAGACACAGGCAATAACTTCAACCAGAAATTCAGCGATTGGTTCCAACACTGACCATGCCAGACTTATTGAAAGAAGGGAAAGTATCCATATAGCCATTTGTACCATATGTCATGGCAACTGAAATTCAGGGATTTCCAGGGGTCATTTTGCTTATGTAGGACTTGTCGCTCCATTTGCTGACCTAGAACCTAACCCCGCCTGGATGTATTGGGTGCTGAGAGGATGAAGAAGGTGGAGCCTGGAAAGCGCTGAGCACCACTCCCCACCCCGGCGGTGCTCAGCAAACCTGAGCATGGCGGCGATGACGACTGCAGTTGTTGCTACTTTTACTGTTGTTCTTGCTGTTGTTAACATTCTATTGGCATGAGTCTCCTCTCCCCTTCGGACTGAAGGCCTGGGGTGGTCCTGGGCTTCTGGACTAGCCCACCACTGTGGGTTTCCATGGATTCTAGTTCACCCTCGTCTGCTGTCTTCTATTTCTAAATACTATCCCTCCTGTTTTCCAACCAGTGCATGAGTGTTCATCCGTAGGGGACACTCCTGGGGCAGGAACCCCCTTCATATGGCAAGCCACCCTTTCCTCATGAGCAATCATTGAGGTGCCCTAGCTTGATTTGCACAACCCAGGCATTGGAACACCACCTAGCTGCTGGCATCCGTGAGTGACCGACAAAAGAGCTAGAGCAATTACACTCACGACACGGGGTGAGCCTGGATTGATGGGCCTTCTCAGGGGAGAGGCTGTGGCACAGAAGGGTCAGGAGCATGTGTGTTGTTGTATCCTGGCGTGGGAGACGGTGTGTGGCTGCTTGTGGTGGCGGGGAGAGCCAGGAGGTAATAAAAGATAGATAGAAATGGACATCCAATTTCTCTTATCGGACTTCTGAGCAAAAGAGGCCTTGGGCGACATTAATTAACAGATACCAATCAGCTAGCCCATGAGGGTGTGTGTATGCAGGGAAGTGTGGGACTGTACCGAGGGGGAGGGGGTCTGAAAGCAGACAGAAGGGGAGGAAAGATGTAGAAGGTAAACGGGGTGAAATTAACAGACAATTGAATTGGAAGGTGGCAGAGAGGGAGGGTGAGGTGAGAGCTAGGCTTTAGGAAACGGAGGAGGAAAGATCCCTGTGAGGCTAATCACATCAGTGTGATCACTAGAAGAATGCTTCTGCCCCTTCATTCATTCAATAAATGTTTATTGAGCACCTACTAAGTGCCAGGCCCTGTGCAAGATGCCGTGGGGACAGAATGGAGAGCTCAAACCAAAACTGGTCCCTGCCTTCAGAACCTCACAGTCAAGAGGGAAAGACACACCTCAAGTACCCCATGTCCCCATGAAGTTACGACTCAAGAAGAGCTATGGCAAGATGGAAGGTTCTGAGAACACACAACTGGAGAATTTGGCCCAAATGAGAGAGTCTGGGGAGGCTTTGCAGAAGAGGAGACTTGGGAGCTGAGCCCTGAAGGGTGAGGGGAAGCTCTGAAGGGGTGGCGAGGGCACCTCTGACAGTGCCCGCTCTAGTGTCTGCATAAACTGCTGCCATGCCCTGTGTGCCTAGCTCCCTGGGAGCACCAGTGCCATGCTGCTCATCTTCCATTTCCACTGTCAGGCTCCTGTCCTGGTACAAAGAAGGTGCCCGACAAACCTTCAAGGTACAGAGGAGAGAATGGGCAAATGCCACTGGGCCTTGACACCTAGGTGACAATGTGTCAAAAGAACTTGGGTAGCCCCTCTTAGTCCCTTAGACAAGAGTGTGGATTTCACTGCCTTTAAGTCAGAGACAAGCCTGCCCCTCCAGGGAGAGGGGCCAGGCAGGTGGTGGGAGGGAGGGAGACAGAGCCTTGGAGAGCTGTGTGCCCCATTTGAGGCTGTATCTCTGAGGCCTGTGTCCAAATCTCCCTGCGAGGCTGGTCTGAGTAGTGGACTTGGCCCTGACTTCTCTTCCTCTTTGAACATCTTCAATAGGAACTGAAAAGAGCTTTGAAAATCCAAAGTGCTGGAGAGCATATATACAGGCTGCTTCATTTTGTGCAAGGAAGTGGGAAACATGTAGCATTTTCTAATATTTGAAAAAGTTTAAATGTTTTCTCATTTTTTAAAAAAAGAAACACTAAAAGGAAACAATGACAAATAAAAACGGTTACCTGTGAGAGGAAGGCAGGGGAGGGGATAGAGATGGAGACGAGATTTCCATGCATCCATTTTTTGGTCTAGTTTTGGCTTTTGAACCTATCCATGTTTAAGATGTCCACAAATAAAATTAAAATTAAATGAAGCACAAAATAAAAGGCATGCTCTCTTTAGCCCAGCAATTACACAGCTAGGAATTTCTCCTAAAAAGAAAGCTATGCTTAAACACAGAAAGATAAATGTGATAAGGGTGTTTGTTAGATCAGTTTGAAATGACCCAAAGTAGGAAACAATCTAAGTGTAACTAATGTAATACATACAACTATTACTGGTATATAAATATAATTATTAGTTAAATGAATGGCACATTAGAATCACTAGAAAGACTGAGGTAGAATGTGTGTGTGTGTGTGTGTGTGTGTGTGTGGATGTGGAAAGATACCCAAGAGTGTAAGGAAGGCTTAAGTGTAAAGGGTGTAGACACCGGAGCCAGACTATTAGAATCGTAGCTTTACTGACCGTGGCTGTGGCCCTGGGCAAGCCCACTTCTGTGTCTCAGCTTCCTCATTTGTGAAATGGGAACAATAATGTACTAACCTTATGGAGTTGTTTGAATTAAATGAACCAGCACGTGAAACACTTAGAACACTGCTTAGCCCATGGCAAGTGCTGCTATTGTATATAATTAAATGAAAGATGCGTTGTTACAGTATGATCCATGGAGTGGAGGGACGGACATACACACACACACACACACACACACACACACACACACACACACACAGGGCTACATGTACAGGAAATTCCCAGAGGGATACATAAGAAAGATGAGGGATTTGGAGCTCATAATTTCTACCCCTCTGTCACATCCAACAACTTTACTAGAAGTACATATTCTTTCTGTTTTTTAAACTCAAACAAAGGGGCTGAGCCATTCTTCCCCGCCCTTCACCAAAGCACCGTTCACTTCTGCTTTTCTGTGCTGGGCTGGGTCTCCTCCTCCATCAAGTAATTAGCAATTCTGGGACAGAGGAGGCTGCTGGGAGAAGCTGGGTGTGGCCCATGCCCCTGGGAGTGCAGCGCTGTCTCTGTGCCTGGCTGACCCCCGACAGCACTGGCCCCTTGAGGCTCGGCCCTGCCCAAGCTGGCTGCCCACTGGCCCTCTCTCGCCAGGTTTCCCAGCATCAGCTCTGCTGCCCCCAGAAAGTTGCTTTATCTGCACCAATTGATCTAATAACATTCGGGCTCTTCCCAAGTCCCCCATCCCCCAGTGATTTGATAGCACGAGCTCCTAGAATTTAAAAAAAAAAAAAGAGCACATAATTTGTGGCAAGTGGAGTTCATAATCTGTTAATTTATTATCGTTTCTGTCGACCTGGAGGGCCATTAGCAGAGGTAATAAAGGGAGATGTAATTATAGGATCTGAGGCCACTCCAGACACAGCTGCTGTCACTCGGCAGCCCATATTTCATCGGCCCCTGGCATTCTTCTCTCCCCAGTGAGAGCCAGACGATGGATAGCTGGGAGCAGGGCTGCTGAGGGACCCTCCATGAGGAGGCCTCTGGGGGTCCCCTGCAGAGGCCATGCACATGTCAGCTGGAGCTGGGCAGGGCTGGTGGGGACTCCCCATGGCTGGCAGGAGAAGGTTCTCCTGGCTGGGGCAGCCTCGAGGCTGCCTGGGCTGGGAGGATAACCAGCTAATAACATCTGGAGGCTGCAATTCATCAAGTGATACCCACTGCCTATGAAAGGCTGCTGGCTCTTGTTTTAATCTCTCACTCATGGGGAACAAGAGGTGGACACTCTAAAGACTTGGGCTTGTCCTCTGGCCAAACCAATACTTGGAAAATCAAGGAGGGAGGGCAACTTCAGACTGACTCACACAAAAGAGTGGCTGCTACTGTGAGCAAATCTCAATCTGGCTCGTTTCCCACAGGACTCGCCCTGTGTAAGGGTCCTTCTGGGCTTTTCCTCCACGGGCTCTGCCCATCAACCCAGGAAGCCTAATTTAGGTTCTGCTCTCTCTCCCCTCACAGCCCATCCCGTCCCTCCTGCCTCTCAACTCCGCCCTGGGGTTCTTCAGGCTGTATTGTAAGTATCTGTCTTATCAGGTATGAGCTGGGAAGTGGGTGGGTAGAGATGAAGAGAGGCTGACTGTGGGGTGATAACTGTTGAAGCAGGGTAACGGACACACAGAGCTTCGTTATATTTGATCTACCTTTGTTTAAAATTGCCATGAAAATGGTTTATTTTAATTATCCATCTTATTCCCAAATGGGATCCTTGGGACAGAAATTAATCTCAGTCTTTGTATCAGCCACAACTCCTATCAAGAGATCTTATATATAGTTAATGCTCAATAAATGCATGCAAATGCAACCATGAAGCACCCTCTGTGTGCCAGACTCTTGACTAGAAGCTACAGACTCCTGAGGCATGAGATGTGGTTTCCTGTGCTTACAGACAGAGGCTCTATTCCTGAGCAGTCTTAAGGAGCCAGTCCTTCTGTCTGTCCAGGAAGCAAGATGGACAGGAGCAGACACAAGTGCTAGAGATGAACCCAGGCTTGCATCCTCCCTACTCAACCTGTTCTCTTTCTTATGTTCTCTCTCTCTCTCTCTCTCTCTCTCTCTCTCTAGCGAGCAGGTCTTCAGATGAGTTTCCATCTAATCTGAAATAGGATTAAGTCAATTAGTTTAAATGTATCAGGCACTTGATGTGTCATCCCCTTTAATATGAGGTTTACATGCAGTGGCAGGAGACTCAATTCATTTTACCTTCAACACTAGAAGGTCAGGCCCAAATAATTCAGCATGCAGACTTATGCAAAATGGTCAAATTAGCGTTCGAGACAGACAAAGGAGCCCCTATGTTTATTTTATTTTTAATAAAAAAAAATTCCGTTTTAGACAAGGAGAAATGATGATGTGAAAGGAAGCTTTTAACACTAACGATGATGATGTCACAATCTCTGCCATTTATCAAGCACCCACTGTGTGCTGGGGCTGGACTAAGTGTGCCATATCCTCCCAGCAACCCGGTGAGGGGGGCTCTACTATGAGTCCCATTTCACAGGTGAGGACACTAAAGCTCAGGAAAATGAAACATCTTGCACAAGGCCACTAAGGACAGAGCTGGGATCAGAGCTCAGTTCTGCCCAAACCCAGGATCTGTGCCCTTAGGGACCATCCTGCTCTGCCCACTGCCCTCTTGGTTGAGCAGACAGGAGATGGAGCTGGGAGGTGGGAAGCCATGGGGTAAAATGGGTACAGGGGAGACAGTGCCTCCTAGTTCTACTCTACCCGCTGGGAGGTATTACAGGGGTGGGGTGGTAAGAGAGGGAAGCAGTGACCTGGGGACACCACCAGGAGCCACGCCTGAGCCATTGCAAGGATACAGTATCTGCTCAACTGGGAAGCAGAGTGTGTGTCGGCAGGGAGGGCGGTGCAAGGGAGCTGTGCCCGATTTGGCCCTGGGTCAGTGGAGCAATCCAGGCTGAGGTGTCGTAAGCAGCCGCCTGACCCCACATCTGTGCTGAACCAGCACAGGACAGATTCAGAAACTACTGAGTGTGTAATCCCAAGAGGCTGAGCTCCTTAGTAAGGCACTACAGCCCAGATCCCCAGGGAGCCCACCCCTGAGTCAAAATGCCCAGAGGCCACCAAGGAGTCCCCGAGGAGGGAATTCTAGGGTTCCCGCCAGCACCACCCCGAGCCATGGGGGCTCTCGGCTAGCCCCTGTCTACAGGAAGGCTCCTCCCTGTAAGCTGTGTACACGTGTTACATAAGGACTTTCTCATGCACCCCAGTCAACTGTGGGTCTTGGCTTCTAAAGCTGAGGACACCTTTGCTACATAACCATGTATGCTGTATTTTTCTTTCAGGGCCTGTGACAAATGTAAGAAAAAAGGGATCTACAGACAAGAAGATCAAGTGTCCCATGTCACATAGCTAGTAAGAATCTGAGTCCATGGTGAATCATGGCCAGAGGATAACTGGATGTTGCCACCCTACTATGAGCCAAGTTTGTCAGAACCTTAAAGGAATAAACTGCAGACTTTAGAAAGATTCCCAAAATATGTGTAATGTCAAAATATGTGGGTATCAGTGTCTACAAAAATAAAATGAAAAATCAACTCATACCGTTTATCCAGAACAAGAAAGGCTGAAAGAGGGCTTTGGGACCACGCACAATTAGGAAAAGTCTGTACTGTCTGAGACACGTTCATTACACTTCCTTTCCATGTCAGAAATGATCATAAAATCACAGAATCCATATAAGGAGACAGGCCTCCCTGAGATCAGGCAAGTGGCAACAGTGAGCATGCAACGAACGTTAGCACATGACAAATGCTCGCACGCATGCCCACATTTCATTCTCATGGAACAGCCCATGACGGAGGTTATTCCCACAGAGGTGGGTGGACCTGCCCAGGGTTACACAGCTAGTAAGTGGCAGGCCCAGAATTTGAATCCCAGCCTGGTTCCCAAGACATGTTTTTAACCATTTGTTCCACGCCACCTGCCTCTAATAGGAAGCAGGGTCTATAAGAAAACCTTACTTTTTGGCCTTTAAGGATTCAAAGAACTTGCTCTTTGAAAACCACCTATTATAGATGCAATCATAGCCCCATTAGAAGAACTGGTTCAGCCCCTAGAAGTTCAGGAACATTATGGAACCCGCCAAACATCCGCTCACTTCCAACCCCACAAGGAGAGAAAAGGAAACAAGAGAAAAACAGGCTGCCAAGATCCCACAGGGCTCCTGAGTCCCAGGCTCCCATGGGTCCAAACCACAGCCACGGGGAGAGTGGCTGAGAGTCCCTGGCTACACACTCTCCTTGGTCCTATGTGACTCACCTGGGATGTGCTTGGCCCAGCCAATGATGACCACAAGCTCTCTGTCTGCCAGGTCACAGAGAGTAGTCAGGGCCTTGATGTCGCCCTCAGGCATGCCAGGGGGAGGCATGGCGTAGAGCTTGTCCGGCTCAGCCACCAGCAGGTAAGAGACAATCTTGGTCACTGCAATAACCAAAGGACGAAAATAAATGTCTGGGAAAGACCAAAGGGATGGGTAGCCTGGGATGGGTCAGGAAGAAGAGTCGGTTCCAAGGAGCCCAGGAAGGTCAAACATGGCTGTAATCTCCCCTCTCTTTCTGTCTCCACAAAGTTGCTGGCAGTGGTGATTCAGGCTGCTGAGAAACATCCCTCCAAGGGAAGTTGCCTGGTGAATTCTCCCCAGAGGAACTTGCTTCGAGTGGGTGGTGAGAGACGGGCAGGTTCTGCGGGCTGGGGCTCAGGCCTTCTCAGGACGACGCTTCATTTGGAACCAAACTCTGTGACACCCCATATGGAATGGCCTTCTGAATGAAGTGCCATCCGCAAGTACCCAACACCAACGCCAGGCCCTGGTGCCACCTCCCCCAGATCCACATGGTCCCAGCAGTGGGAAGATGGCATTGTCCCCAAGGGATGCCAGATGTCCCAGTACAGATGCTGGCAAAGGGGGCATGGACTGCCCTGGCACTCACATGGCTTTTTAGCAGGTGGGGAAATCTGCAAGCTCAGGTACGGGCTGCTCTCCGAGTCCAGGCGCCGCTTGTATTTCTGGCGGCCTCCACGCACTCGATCAAGGCGCACACCTGTTAGGGAGCAAAGGGAGACAGTCTCAGGAGTCATTCAACATCACTGGGGGTGTTAGCATGACGGGATTTCAATGCTGGCTAAGTCCTGCAAGGCCACACTCAGATGGCCTCTTCTTACAGCTGGCCCATGGCCAGCCTCAGGCCGGGTGGTTGGACAATCCTAAAACAATTGTCAAACAGTAATGGCCTATCCCAGCTGGCCCGGGCCTGTTCCTGCCTCTCTGAATTCAGCATCCTCCTGAAACCCATTCCAAGCAACCTTCAGCTCTTGAGTCTTTCTAAAAAAGAAAGAGCAACAAAAGCACTCCTCCAAGTGTTGGGGAAAGAAAACGTGTTATTTCAGACCTGCTGTGGCAGCGGGGAGGGTTGAGTCAGCTTGCCAAGAGAGGAAAGGAATCCTTGCTATTGGCAGGCACCTCGAAAGAGTCACAACAAGGATTTTCAAACTTTCACTTAAGAAGTTTCTGGGTCGGCACTCATTATAAATGCCAGTTTCAGGATCCCACCCTCAGAGATTCTAGGATAGAGTTCTAGAGTCTCATCTACACCAAGTCCCCACAGCATGGGGATGCAGCTAGCCCTGGCCACATCTCCAAAATCAATCAATGCCTCGGAGTATCTCAACAGCAGGTGCCAAAGCAGTGTGGCCACTCCACACAGATACCCATTTCTGAGTGAGGCCCAATCCTAGAGATCCGTATTGTCACTGGGTCCATACTGACTTCAAGAAACCTGCCCCACCCCCAACTCCTGCTGTCTAGACACACACGTTGCCACCATTTGACACCGCCACCAGCAGAGTGGACAAGACCTGGAGAGGGTTGCTCATCCAAGGGCACACAAGGTCAGTCAGACTGGCCACCAACCTTTGTGGCCTGACCTGAAAAGATGGATGCGACCTATCAAAGTAGGTCCAAAGTATGAACGAACACAGAAAACAGAACGGCTCTCCTTTTCTTATCATGAAATGGATGGTCCTTGACTGAAAGACATAAGCCTGGAGACAGAGCCCGAGTCCTGAGAGGAAGAAAGCCCAGTGGCCTCCTCAGCCTTTGAGGTGACGGGCTAAGGGCAACTTCTGTTCCTTTCCCCAGAAGTGCACACAGAGCCCCAGTCAGTTGATCTTCAGGGCCCTGTCTCTCCCCCCATCCCCCAGACTTCCTCCTTCGAGTCCTGTGCTTCTTCCCTCCTCCTAGAGACATGGGTCGTGGAAGCAGTCCTATCAGTTCATGTCATTCTTGGGGAGAGGGAAGAGGAAGCAAGAATAACTGTAACTTAACAGAGTGAGGATTTAGATCCCATTCAGGTCAGGGGAGATTTTCGAGCTGTGTCTTAGGATGTACAGCTACTAACTTCAAGTCCCCAGGGACAGCAGAGGCGATGATGAGAACAAACGAAAGTGAAATTACTATTTACTGAATGGGCAGGGACCATCCCTTTGACTGCTAATGGCCCTAAAGGAACTTCTGATGAGGAGTGCCCTGACACCATCCCCACGTGCTTCCAGTTGAGGGCTCAGACCACATCCTCCTCCTGGAGGGCAAGGAAGATGCTGTGAGCACACCAAGCCCAGAAGACTGTCCAAGGGAACTGTCTTTGGGGGACCAGTCACTGCTCAGCATTTGTCAGCAGCATCCTTTTTACCTCACAACCTGGAAACTCAGCATCACAGCCTGCTTCCTATTTAAAGGTATAATAATTCCCCTATTGTGTGTCATCTTGTTGGGGCCTGTGCCCATCCCCCACTGTAGATACCTAAGTGATCCAGGTCTTCCTTTTCTCCACCCTCTGGAGGTCAAAGATGGACTGGTGACATAGGCAGAGTCAAATGGCTTTGAATCAGGATCAAATGGCACCAAGATGGAGGGTGAGGATTGGTGAGGGCAGTAGTGCCCTCAGCAGCAAGAGTGTGGGCAGTCTTGGGCCAGACTCTCCTGGTTACTGCATCTCCTGCACTTGGGCTCTCCCAGGCTTCCCCTGGTCCTTCTCTGGCTTCTGAGTGTGCTTCCTGAACCTCCTGATAGGCTATGTACCAAACGCCCCTTCTGCTTTAAGGGTCACAGGAGGCTGCAACTGACCACATCTATAGTTAGGTTATCCGGGAGCAGACCCTGAGACAAGGATGTACCTGAAGGCAGTTTATCTGGGAGGTGATCTCAGGAAGAAAGGCCAGAACGAGCATGTTCCTGAGTAGACTGCTGCTGTGGGCAACTGAGGACCCTGGGAGACAGTGTAGAACATGCCTCTTGCAGATGAGGGCCTTGGGGCATTTGGTAACCTTTCACGCAGTCACTGGCCCTTCATAGGTCCAGGCTGAGCAGGTTCTGGCGGCCAGAGAAAGCCCTGGGCAGAGCTGCAGTTACACGATGGCAGGGCAGCGCACGGCACGTAATAGAGTGCTGAATAGATGTGGGCGGGGCACCAAAGGCTAACTTCCTTCTCAAAGTGTGGTCCAGGGCCAGCAGCCTCAGCATCACCTGGGCGCTTGTTAGAAATGCAAACATCTCAGACCCGGCCCCCAGGGAATCCGAGTCAGCATTTTAACAAGGTGATTCCTATGCACATGAGAGGTGCGGCACTCCAGCATCCTAGCAGATGCGGCTGTCTGATCAACTTCATCGGTCCCTGGGAACTTGAAGGGGACAGCTGAACCCCATCTGGCACAAAGCCTACATGCTTACGCTGGTAGGACTCTGGCTCACATTTGCCCCCTCACCCCTCCCAGCCCCTTCAGTGAGGGCAGAAAGAGCAGACGTACAAACGCAGAGAGGATGGTTCCTCCTTCGAAGGTTTCTTGGGGGAAAGTTCCCTATTGGGCAGAGTTTTCCTGACCCCATCCTGTGACACGGTCCCAAAGCACCTCCCCCTGCCCGTTACACCAGAGCAGAGCCAGCCCTCCACCAAGCCCTGCTTCCCTTTGGAGAGCTGGCAAGACCAAGAGTGGAAATGCCACGCTCCCTTCAGGAGGGTGAGGGCCCCCATTTCCTGAGCACCTACTATGTGCCAGGCTCTACTGTGGAGCCCTGGGTGAGCTCCTTCACTTTCTCTCCTGGAAGCCAGCCTGCCTGACCCCAGGCAGTTGTCAACAGGAACGGAAACTGCTCAACCAAACCTAAAAAGAGGTGCCCATCCTTTAGCAAGGCAAGGAGATGGGCCACACCACCCGTTTCTGCGTCCATCTGGTATGTTCTCTGTCCTCCAGAGAGCAGGACCTGGTCCTGAGAGGGTGTTCACAAAAGTCTTGATGACTACAGCAATGGATGTGCCACTTTCCTCCTCACCCCCACCCAGGCTGGGGACCTCCCACAGGGCTCCAGGAACACACTGGCCATCCCCTACTGACTAAGCGCCCGTTATGCCCAGGGGCTGCTCCGCCCTACGCCAGGTCCTGTCATGGCACCCGATGCGCAGATGGATGCTTAGGAAGCTGGAACTATTACTATCATCATCATCGTCATCATCACCACCACCATCACCATCATCTCTCTTCCCCAGCCAGCCCTGTGTGCAACTCTCTGGAAAAATCACGTTAATGATGATAAAGCGAACAGCCTAGTTAATAGAGGACTTTCTGTACGTATTGCCCTATTTAATCCATAGCATATAAAGCAGGTGTTAGTGTCCCTATTTTATCCTTATTATCCCTATTTTTTTCAGGGAGATTTAGTAATTTTCCCAATAAAAGAACCAGCATCCAAGCTCTTTGCCATTCCAGGGTATGACCTCCTAGGGCACGGCAAGTATAAACTCTCCTCTAAATTTTGTCCTCCAGATCTTTACAGCACAGTGGTCAATGGCTGCAATCAATAAATGTATCAATTATCAGGTTATTTTGTGTGTTTTTTTTTTAAAGTAGCCTGTTGGGTTTGGTTATGCACCAGCTGATACCTGGTGTGAAATATGTCTGCTTTCCTTGCTTCCTGTCTGCTTTTCCAAGTCCTACCTTATGCACAGCCCATGATCACTCCAGCCCCTAGGATCCAATGCTCAGGGTCCCAGGCCTGCCTTGACCCCTTATGGGTCACGCAGCTTTGGTTTCATCATGAGGTCCAGGGGAGGAGGCAATGTTAATACCAACTCTGCTCACCACATATGGCTTTTGTGACATACAAATGACATCATCATGGGAAAATGCTCAGTACATTGGAAAATGGTTCCAGTAGGCCGAGTGAGGCTGTCACTACCGTTGCTCTGTGCTTTGGCTTTCACCTGGCACTTCATTTGACACCTCCCACTTCTTTCCCTCTATTCCCATCAGCTCTTTAATTCAGTGGGCTCTTAGAGGACATGGCCCAGGTATGCTCCATTTGCTGAGCTCTCCCCACCCACCCACACTGTCCCACAGGCAGGGTTTGCTTGTGATCATTTAGGGTAGAAAGGTCCTGTGGCAAAGACATGATTCTCCACCCAGGGACCCCCTTCCCATGGGTTGGGGTTGGGGAAGATGGGCCCCCACCTAAGAAAGTGGCCTTATCCTTCTTTCCCACACTATTCCCAAAGGCAATTTATGTCCTGGGTGTATCTTTGAAGGCCCAGTTGAAGTATTATCTCTCCAGAGAAGTCTTTCCAGACTCCTGGCAGAGCTGGTCAGACCTTTCCTGGGCTCCTCTGTTACAGTAACTGCAGTTAAACAGCAACTCTTCACAATACACCGTATACCCATCTCACTGGTGGACTGTGGGCACCTCCTAGGCAAGGACTTACATCCATCTCTGTAGCCCAATCAAGTGTCCGAGTAAAATGATGTGCCCAGCTAAAATGAAGCCCTTCGGACTTAGGAAACATAAGAATCTCAGGGTCTGGTCCCTTCCCCAGCTTCCATTTGTCCCTCTAGCCTCCAGAAATTCACTCCCTCAAGGCAGCCCATTTATCATGGAAGTTTCCCCTTGTATTGAGCTAAATTCTGTCTCCAGATCACTTCCTACCCTTCCATAAGACAACCCTTTATGGACTTGAACATCCTCAGGCACCCTCCTTCCATGGCCAAGCACCCATTA